ACAGTTAATGTATTCTATCAACCGTTAAAATTCCATGACCCATTCCATTGATTAGTTTTCGTTTGGCCTAATCATCATGCATTGTTACAATAATCACGACTATCCTCACCAATAGCCCAAAGCAGTTTATTTCTAAACAGAAAGATAAAATGCACAAATGGATATTTAATCGACATTTCATTTCAGTGATGATAATAATTCAATACACCCTTTCTACCCATACATCCCATTCTCAACAATTCCTATTCTTCATTTCTTCATTTCTCATGATTAATTAACCCAATTAATACAAACAATGTAATTAGGGTATTTCCATAATTAACATTACAACCCGGTAAGGTCCCATTTTCATCAATGATTTAACATTTTATTCCATTTCCACATGCCAAACATGCTCTAGGTTTATTGTAAATAAAAACAGCTAACTTTTGTAAGATTACACAACAGCCCCAAACTTCCACAAAATTCCAAAACCAACCCAAACATCTCAAAATACAAAAATTTAAAGACAAGATCCATAGAGAGGAGTAGGATTATCCTACCTCAAATCCGAAAGCCCCAAAGGAGAAGGTGACAAAACCAACGTGCTCCAAAGACCAAGATTTCAGATCAAAACGACGCCTTGACGATCAACACGACTTTACAAAGACGAAGGTGAGGAACTCACCCTAGCTAGATCAAAATCTAGAGAGAAGGCAAGATTTTAGAGAGAGGAGCTCTCAAATAGCTTTTAGAAAAGTAGGAGAGAGAAAGAAATGTAAAAAGTGATTTAAAACTACCCAGCGGATAACTCATATACGTATGACCCGCTCGAGCAGAGAACACGACGCTCGAGCGCCAAAGAAAAACTCTGGACACGCTCGAGCGCAATAAGGCCGCTCGAGCGCCAAGACACAAGAATAAAGCACTTCCCGCTCGAGCGCGAAAAACCAGTCCGCTCGAGCGCAGATTTTCCACCTCCCAGAACTTAACACCCAGAAAGTACTAACCCGCTCGAGCGCCAAACAACCCGCTCGAGCGCCACTGCTCGAGCGTAAAACAAACCCGCTCGAGCGCAGAAATCACATCTGCAGAAGTTTTGCAGGGACCCGAAATACTGGGGGTGTGCCAATACTCGCTTGAGCGGCAAGAAGGCCCGCTCGAGCGGAACGCCTAAAACCAAAAACGACACGAAATTGAAACCAAGGCCTAACCAACCTGTAACAACCTGCCCACACATCCTATAACTGCAAACACAAGTAAAAAGGTAGTAAATAAGATACTAATCAACTGCCAACATCCAGGACACATGTCCGAATCACTGTACAACAAGGGTAAAACCCGGATCGCTATAAGCATAGAGGATTAACTCAAGTTTTCCTAGCCAAGTTTAGCATGGCCACATTAAACGATGTGCACTTCAATGGTAATATTTTATACCAAGACTTAAGCATGACCACATTAAACAAAGTAAACTCAGTACTTGGTTTGCTAACAGTGAGGAGGTGGAAGCACACATTGGAGCATTCATAAATGGCATGGAATCTGCATAAAAAATAACCCGGTAAATTATACCGGTGGTTCCCGAATTTTACTCCTTACATCATTTTGATCCCTCCATTTTCAATTGGCTCAATTTTGACTCTTAACTTTAAATTTTGTGTCAATTTGGTCCAATTGATAATGTCATTTAGTGTTCTTGATAGAATAATCATTGATTTAGTCGATTTTAAACTCATTGAAATTTAATAAATTTATAAGTTTTATAAAAATGACACATGCACTTATATGCATATTTTTCATAAATTAAAAAAAATGCTGAGAGTTGTAATCAATTGAACCAAATTGAAACAAATCATAAATTCATAGTCAAAATCGAGTAAATTAAAATTATAGGAACTAAAATGATACAAAAATTAAAATACGAGGACTGTTATCACAATTTGCCCAAAATATTCTTACAAATATGTAGGTGCCCACTATTTTGTAGAAGCCATGGTTTGCATGTTTATGCTGAACTGTATTCATGTGCATAGATATATATATATATATATATAATTACTTTCCTATTGCAAGTTATTAGTTTTTCTACTCCAAGGACTTTGAAAAGATTTTGTACTTGGAGCAACATAGCCTATGGTTCCCTTATCACAACTGAATTGCTTTGATCTTGTGCCACGTCACTTGAAACCGTAGAAATAATTTCTGTTAACCCGAAATCTCCAAATATAGGCCGTCATCTCATCATCCAAGAACTATGCTTGGCTTTAAATCACCATGAATAATTGTACCACAATGAAGATACTCAAGTGCAGAAGCGACACCATGGAAATATCCAATCTCTGGATAGTTTAAGATTTCTAGGTTCTTCTGGTTGCCCATGGTTTCCACCAACTCCCAACTTTGTATGTAGCCATTTGCCTAAGCTTCCATTGGCCATAAATTCATATACCGAAGCTTTGAATTCATCACCATTGAAATCCACACTAGAACAAACTCTCAAAATTTTCAATAGATTTCGATGCCTTATTGCTTTCAGTACTTTGGATTCTGTCATGAAGCTCCTAGAAGCTCCTCTGGTTTGAAGATTGAGCACTTTCACTGCCATAACCATTTGAACTTGATCAAGATTCCCTTTATAGCGGTCCCGGTATTTCCTGTTGTTGTTTAACTATAATCCGGACTCGGTTCCGTAGATTCGTTGTTGTCTTATCCTCATTTCTATCCCCTACTCTTTTAATTAGAGTTTTGGGTTGTGTTGGGCAAGTTGGGAATAAGTGGGTCGTGTTTTAAAACTTAGAAATTTTGCCCAGGTTTTGGTCTCTCCGCTCGAGCGGCGATTTGACGCTCGAGCGGGATTTTGTTGTTGCCTCTCCGCTCGAGCGTAAGTTTGGACGCTCGAGCGTGAATCTCCTTCTCTCAGCATTTTGGACATCTGCAAAAAATTATGGGAGAGTGCATCCGGCGCTCGAGCGGATCTTGGTACGCTCGAGTGTGAACCTATGTCTGACGCTCGAGCGGGGTGTTGTACGCTCGAGCGGACCTGTTTTTATATCAGTCCATGAAATCATTTTTTTTGATCACTTTTTGATTTCCTTTCTCTCTCTTACTTTTTTCAAAACCTCCATTGAAGAGCACCTCACTCTAAAACCCTAACTTCTCTCTTAGGATTGATCTAGTAGGAGTTGTTTTCTCACCTTGGGCCTTTACAAAAGTTGTGTTGATCGTAGAGGGCTACCTTTTAATCTGAAAATTTCGGGATTTGGAGCATTTCCGTTTCTTCATCTCCTTCGTTGAGCCCCATCTTTCGAGGTAGGGATATCCTACTCCTCTTTATGAGCTTTGTCTTTGAATTTTAGCATTTTGATATGTTGGGGGTTGTTGGGTAATTTTGAGAGAGTTTGGGCCTTTGGGTAATTTTTAAAAAAGTTGGGGTTTTAAATATATAAACCTATATGCATGTTAGGCATAGAGAAATGAGATTAATGTTGGGACATTGATGGAAATGGACCCTTAAGGTTGTTTTGCGAATTATGGTAATTTGCCCTAATTGGTTTAATTAATTAATGCATATAATTAATTGAAGAAAGCGAGGAATTGAATTGAGAATGTTGAAATTGGGAATGTATGGGACTAAAGAGTGTAGGCAAATCATTTGTTGCTCACCTAATTGGAATGTTGATATATTATCCATTTGTGCATTTATTTCCTGTTTAGAAATAATTGCCTTGGGCTACCGGTGGAGGGTAGCATTGATTGTTGTAGACAATGCATGATGATTAGGCAAACTAAAACTAATCAATCGGATGTGTCATAGAGTATGACGGTTGATAGAATACATTAATTTTATGTATTGAGTGATTGTGTATATGACCAATGTGTTTATATGCATTATGTATAGACGGTTGGTAGAATACATTAATTTTATGTATTGATTGATTGTGTATAGAACCCTTGTGTTTATATGCATTGTGTATAGAGGAGGAGATGGGGGATGTACTCCGCGGTTTAGGGGAAGATGGGGGATGTACCTCTAAACCGGATAGGATTGGGAGGAGATGGGGGATGAACTCCGTAGATACAGCTCATACGCTTGTCTAGAGAAGTGAAGATACAGCTCATATGCTTATCTTTGTGAAGTGAAGATACAGCTCATATGCTTGTCTAGTGAAGTGTAGATATAGCTCATAGGCTTGTCTAGTGAAGTGTGGATACAGCTAATATGCTTATCTGTTGATGTGTAACATGCTTATCTATTGGAATGTTGATATAGCTCATATGCATATCTGTTGTAATAGTGATATAGCTCATATGCTTATCTATTGAAAAGTTTGTTTGATTGATATAGCACTAAAATGTATATCATCATCGTTTGTAAAGTATGGATGTAGTTTATGTGTTATTGATACAACACCAAAATGTGTATCCATTGTGAATTTTGAAAATATTCTAGTGATGAACTATAATCTCATCAAAATGTTTTGGCCAGAGTACTGAACCCTGTTTTCAAACTCAAAGTTGAATAAGAAATGAAAAGTGAATTGTAACATAGGTTTGGTTGTCATGGAATTGAAATAAGATGTAAATGGAAGTGTAAGTATCGACCATCTATCAGTTGCTAATCTTTTAATCATTGTTCATAGTTGGTTTAGTATATCTCTGCTGGGCTGTGGCTCACCCTTTATGGGAACATCATTTTCAGGTACAGGTAGCATGCCGCCTCTAAGGACATAGCTTGGGGGGCTAGGGGCAAGACATACTTTTGTTGCCTTATTTTTTTTCCTTTGATGTATTACATGTAAATTCATGCCAAGGGCTTAATGTGTAACCGAGTTAATACTCTCTTTTGTAACCAAGTGATAACTTGGAAAGCTGTAAGCCTGTAGGGCATTTACTTTTGTTGTTAACGTGTAATACTTTTGTAATGAAGTACTCTGATTAATTGAGAAAATGTGGATCTTTTGTATATAAATGTATGTTTATATTGATGGGTTTAATGTTATTATTCTGAGGGCGTTACACCCTTTGTAAACTGAAGCATAGCTTCCAACACCGATTAGATTAGCCTTTGATAATCCATTGGTGGCTTTGAGAAGCTCTGCATAAAGAACCCTCAAAAATTGATGCATGATTGAGGCTTGCAAGAGGCCTTCTTTTTTTGAAACATGATGTCATTGAAGAAATATGAAGCAGCTAACAAACAAAGATAAAAATATCACAAGACCAACCACCAGTATGATCACTTTCATCCCGTGAGATAGATTATTCTTGCTTGATTTGAAGGATGGACATGGAGGAAGGCCTAATTTTACAATACCTCCACATATTTCATTATTTCCAACAACTGAAATTGTACTCTCATTTTGTGTTGGACTCACGAAGGCCCAATAACAACCTCTAATTAGGATATCTAATTAGAGAAGACCCTCTCCCATTGTAATTTACCCAAATATATAGTGCCTCGCTGCATTTAACTACCAATTGTAGCTTGCATCAAATTGTTGGAGCATTAGATAAGACTGTTGTCGGTTTTAAGGATTAATTATACTGACACCTCCTAAGATTTCTATTTAATATTGATTTTTCCCTCACATTTAAAAAATTGCACTTACTCCACTGTCAAATTAAAATGACATATTTGCCCTTTACCCTTTATACACATAAAATAATAAAATAATACAGATATTTTATTCATGTCATTTTAAAGGAAATAACAATCATCTTCTTTGATATAACTCACATATTTTTTTTTATTTTTTGTGTTTTTTTTTATATTTTTATTGATTTTTTTAATATTTTAAGCAATTTTATTTGTTATTTTTTAGATACACCTAATCTAGATATACTAAAGAAGTATAATATCTTGTGATTTTTTTTTTAAATTCACCAAATAAAAGAAAAATAAAAAAATTCAATATATTATCTTATTTTATTTTATTCAATTGATTTTTATAAATTTTTTTGTACAAATTTTATACTTTTTAAATATATCTATATTAAATTGATCTAATTTAGATATAATGGTGGAAATAAAAAAAATAAAAAATTATATTCATATATAAAGATTTATACAAAAAGTATCATAAAAATATTGTGATAGTGATATTGTCGTAAATATAAATCATGTTTATGAGTGTTTTGTTTTAAAGTGAAAGGTCACTATTAAAGTATATCATTATGTTTAAAAATTTGACATAAAATTTATATTTGTATATCTTCCGTCAATAAGAATATGTTCAGGTAGAATTTAATAATGAAAAGTTGTAGAATATAGTCATGATGATAAGAAGAAGAAATGATAGGAAAGAAGGGCAAAATGGTCATTTAAAAAATTTTAAGGCATGACATCAGCAATTGAAGAGGCAATTTATAATGAGATTACAAACCTCAGGAATGAGAATATAATTTTTCAAATGTGAGAGGGAGATCGGTATTAAATAGAAATTTCAGGAGGTGTCAATACAATTTACTCATTTTTTATTAAATGTCTTTAATGTTTCTAGCAATATTTTTTTTTTTCTTTCCTTTTTTTTTGTTTTTGTTTTTTGTTTTTTTTTTGCCTTTTTGTTTTTTTTTTCCTTCCATGTTGGTTTAATATAGCAAAGTGCTTGGAGATGATGTTACATGTTTAGATAACTGATCGCCCCTCCCCCCCAAAAAAAAGATGATAACTTATCAGGATATTTTATTTTGTCTGGTTTATGTTTTAACTATTTCTTAACACACTACAACAAAATTGAATTTTTATGGCTTGCAATACATGCCGTAAAAATTCTTTCACGGCATGCACACAAATGTCGTTATATGACATGCCGTGGAAGGTTGAGCATCTTTTACGACATGCAGATAAAGTTGTAAAAAGTAATAAATTAAACATTAATGACATACTTTGTATGTCGTATATAATTTTTTACGACATTTTTGTCATGCCATAAATCATCATACTTTCCATGGTATAATTTTGCATGCTGTAAAAGGTTATTTTTAATATATTTATGGCATACTTCATATGCCATATATAATATTTTACGACATTTTCTTGCATGTCATTAATCATCATTTTTCACGACATAATTTTGTATGCCGTAGAAGGTCATTTTTAATATATTTATGACATATTTTGTATGCCGTATATAATCTTTTGCGGCATTTTCTTGTATGTCATAAATCATTACACTTTTCATGACATAATTTTATATGTCGTAGAAGGTTATTTTTAATATATAATATATATACAGGAATATAACCTTACCTAACAGTATATAGACAGTAGCTTATAAAATGCAACTTGTTAACAAACCAAGCAGAAGCAGCAACTATGAAGTAGGCAAACAAATCTAATATCCATACACCAAACAACCTGCATACTAACTTTCATCCTCAACTTCTATCATATCAAGCTGATAACAACCTCAAACGTACAAACCTTAAAAAGTATCCAAATCATAAGATTCACTAATCTTTAAAATATGACTTTAAACATCCAAAAAGTATAACTACAAATCGTAAATCAATTAGTCTAATACTATTTTCTGTAACGCCCTCAAAATAGACTCATTATATATTTGTCACTAACATGCAATATTTAAAGTAAACAATTCATTATCTCATTCATCAGAGTATTTCTAAATAAAAGCATTACATGTAACATCAAATTAAATGCCCTACGGGCTTACATCTTTCCAAGCCAACACTTGGACACAAAAATATGAGTTCTAACTCAAATACAAGTAAAGCCCTAGGCTTGAATGTTTACATGTACTATCAAATAAAAACAACTAACTGAAGATAGTCTTCAAAATCCAAAAGTCAAATCCTTCCAAGCTAAGTCCTTGGAGGTAGCTTATCACCTGAACCTGAAAATGATGTTCCCATAAAGGGTGAGCCACAGCCCAGTAGAAAAATACTAAACCAAATATAAGCAATGAATAAAGCAAAAGCATTTAATAGATGGTTAACCAAGATAATCAATTACATCATTTTACAGTCTCATGACACTATTGCCAAAGATACGTTTTACTTTCCAACATTATCAACC